CATCAATCTGTCCAGAACTTTTAAAAGTTGTTAATGATGCCTATAAGCTTTTAAATTTAGGGAAACGTATTAGTCAGGGATTCAATTGGGAGATGAGTCCGTTTTGTCGGCTTGTTGGCCTTTCTTGTTATGTGGACACAAATTATTAATTACGTGTGCTTATGGATTGGTTTTACCCCATTTGTTCATTCACTAGATGGAAAATTGGGGACACTGCAGCAAACACGCGAAGCGAATTCGTTTATCCAACTGAGGTGTGGAAAATCAGGATAGGATTAATGCTTTCTGAGTTGCTAAGTGTACCAGCTTATTTACGTGAATTCCTCACCGAATCATTTTAAAGATGTTAATTATTCACTGCTTTTCTTGATTTTACGTGTTTCTGTTTATAAAGCTAAGTCCTGTGGCGCGACAAGTTGGGATGGGATCGGCTGCTGTCACCTAGCCCATGGTGCCATCATTTTGACATACTCCAATGGGTCCGAACACGTGAAATTGACCGAAAAATTAATAGGAGTAATCTCAAAAAGTAGTAGCCGTTTTTGCGGGTAAAAACCCATAAAATTAACTTCTGTAAATTGGAACAATTCTCCAAAATTCTACAAGAACTTTGGATTTTGGTGCTACGATGACCCAGATTGCAAGTAGTGGCAACTGCATTTGTTGTTTGTTGTATTCTGTAGAACCCGACTACGGTAGGGGTAGGCTATAGCTATCAACGAAAACGGTAGTCCATTTGTCTGCCAAAAAACCGCGAAAAAGTTGTTTTACGTGTGTCTGAGACATGGGCAATCTTGACGGCACTACCAGGTATGCTCAACCACTGGTTGGAGATCAGTTAGATTGCTGGTCACATGCACAGCTGTTATTGAACGTTCAGCCACTTGTGGCCGATTTGCTTGCCCTTAACATCCCGGCCAGTTTTATTGAGAGAGGACACAGCCAACCCACGGGTGTGATCGAGGCCCTGCTGCTTCATGGGCACGATTAGTCCTCTTGAAAAGGATATCGTATATTTGGCGATTCATTGATCTGGAGAGGCCATCCGGTGTTACGTTTCTTCCTCTCCCTACCCAAATCAGGAAGTCGATGTTGGTGACTTAAGACGTTCTTGTAATACCATATTCCTTTGCGGTAAGTTGAAAGCCTTGAACGATATACCTAACTACAGGATCTCAAATTTTCCTTCGTGATTCCATGATTTGTTGTTCCATCCCATTTGATTGTCGTGCCGATATTGAACAGTCCCACTCTTTCCCCTGGGCTTAAAGGTCTACATCCAACTATCCATTTTGTAAGTGTTAATCTGTTGTTGCGGCTCTCATCACCAGTCCTCTAAGACAGGAGTGAGTTCCGATATTGTTAACTTTGCGATTAAATATTTCATCAACAGGAGACTTTCCTTCTATATTTGTCAAGCAGGTGTCGTCCGCTAGTTCATTAGAAATATATCAATGACCTCTTGGGTTTACCTCCCCTACTCCTGTTTTTTTTCGTTAAGACTTGCTCGGAAGCGTCGACAAATCTTTCAGCCCGATCGTTTGACTAAGGATGGTAGGGGGATGATCGACGCTCAAAAGTTACCTGGTCGTAGATTGCTTGCTGCTTCCTGAGTATGTCACTGTGGGGTTCGCACTCACATTCTACAACGAAGTAGACTAAGTGGGCTGTTAAAGACAATTCCAGCAAATTCAAGTCTTGGCGCTTTGGCATGTGACAGGTTTTGGTGACCAACACAATCCAGATCAACGGTATGGTCGAATTCATCGACGATTCTCGGTAATCCACCGAAAGTGCTACAGTTTGCCTGCTTCCTTTCACTCAGCGCTAGCCTAACTGAAGGCGAACTGACTTCTTGATAGTGCCCACCGACGCATACTTTCTGTATGTGGATTTTTCGCTCCTTTCAGTCATCTACGTTTTGCTGCTTTTACTAGAGTACCATTTTTTGTTACCGAAATGAGAGCATCTTACACAACAATGTCTTTTGAAGGGACAAAATCCTACGAAGTTTCAACCGACGCACTGCCAGTGTGTTGAGAGTGGTTTCTGCAGCCGGATTCCGTGGGGCCTTCGGAGATATACCATCAGTCGTTAGATTAAGACTGTCTCATGCCTCAAATTTTCCAAGTCCTAGCATTCTGCTTTTGCGGTTTATATTTGTGGTTTCTGAGCCCAGTTTAATCCTGTTCAAAATCCGAGTCATGATCCCAGTATCTCGAGGGTTCTAAAGCCATGCGCAAAAATCAGGCACTCGAATCGGCTCTCTGTTGTATTTCAGCGTTTGAAGCGTTATATTCCTTGTTAATCTTGCTAGCCTACGTCATCCAGTCATCTTGAGAATTTTGGTCAGGCTCTAGCAGTGGCACCATGTGCTAAACCTTGGGACTTAATCACCAAGCTCTTGTCCTTGAGATGTTCTATCTCCTGGTTTTTCGGCGAGAACACATTTGGTATATCCTTTGTGCTCCACTACATCAAGCTTGCACAAAAATTAAAACACTCCATGTCTTTTTTGGGCATGTTATCTCGGAGGATGTCATCGGGTTTTTTGAGTCAGATTTCAAACGTGACACCCGACATTGGATTAACTACGAATTTTGGAGTGCTATCAATCAGTGTGCTTGCCATTGGAGTACTGGTTTATCTCATTTAGAATGGCGACTTTCAGACGGATAGCTCATCGGTCTGGATTTTAGTGGGCTTTTTTTAGCCATCTCAAGTGGTTACCGCTGCCATCACTGAAGGTTCGCTTGAGTTTTCTCATCGAAATCGACGTCATTAATTTTATGTTACCATGATCGTATCACCTTAGAGCCCGTCAGATAAGAGAGCACCGTTTGCGTTGGCAATCCCGATCTCCTCTATCATGGTCGGGCTTCATGGGATAAGCTTTTTTCATACAGTCCCTTGCTACATCTACACACGTTTTGGTGTTCAACTTATACCTAGAAAAATTTAGCTTCGAATGACTTGTTGGTGAGGTATGAACCATCCTGAGTCAGTTTAGGAAACAATGTCTTGGTACTCAGCGTCTGCTGACTTCCCGGAAATTCAAATATTTCTGATTCGTACTGTCTACCGTTTCCATAACATCGTTTGTCTCCTGTTAAAATTCACCTTGTGCGTCCATTAGATGTTCCGCATGCTAAGTGTCCACAGAAGTGATTGATGAGTGGTCTGGGAACCATAACGGCCGGATCATAACTGGCTGATAGGTGCACGACCGCCTTTGAAGCGTTTTTGCCAATCGTAATGGGTTTGATATATTTTATGGGAATAGGCATCAGTGGGTTCGAATTTTACACCTTTGTTGGGGAGAAACTGCATCACCACGCCTTGTTTCATTCTCGCAGAACCACTGTCATCATGATTAACGATGTCTGACTTAGCGTTAATTGCTTCTACTTTGTAAGCAACCCTTACAAGCCACATGAATATTTCGTGGGCTCATGCAATTTACAGGTGCTTTTACTGCCCATAAAATTGTTTTATGCCGAAAACTCCTTTCTGACAATCTTTGCTATTCCGGTTTGCAGGATTATTTCAGTCTATTAATCAATCTCACTAAACAAGATTTCAACACCATAGAATAGGAGCACACTTTTTTACTACGGGCGACATTTTTGGCATGGAAGTACAAGGAATAGATCAACAATGTTAAGTAAATTTTCAGGAAGCACACAGTCCTCACGTAATGTCCCATATTTGTGTTTCAAATGGCATTAATGTTCTTCTGACTCCTATCTACTTTCAGATTACTGAGCCTAGTAGTTCGCTTTTCCCACTGCTACAACTTGAATGCACTCCCCACATTTTGCATGTACCTCGTTCGGCTTACGTGTGGCTGGAGTCATTTGCTTTCTCTGTTTCTAGACGCGCTTCGTACACCACTTCCGATGCACTTTTATCAAGGCAGAAAAATGATTTATCTTAGGAACCAGTCATTTGTTTAAAGTCAGTTTCTTCGTCATTCCCCTATTACAATTCAATGTCCTTCTCCTTACCTTGATCGTCAATGCGACCGAGGGTAATATTTCCTCGAAGTGAGGTCACTTTGCCTTTGCTTATTTATTTTAGGGGAATCGTTTCTTCTCTTACTCCAAGGTTTGCATCTTGTACGCCCATTTCCCCCAAATGCCCTCATTTTTACAGCTTATGGGTTTTACTTTTCCGTTCCGGGTCGTTTCACAACTTCCATTCATGTTGACCTTAAATGCAATATTACTTAAAAAATAGGTGCTGAATTTATTACATCGTAAGTTTGGTAATAAAAGCTCTTAAAAATGGGGTGCCTCACTACTTTGCACGTGTGTATAGTCAAAAGTCTTTTGCATTAAAGATCTCGTCAGTTACTTTGCTAAATCTGTCAAGTTTTCCCGTTATTTTCGTTTCAAAATTTCCGTTATTGTCTTTACTAATTCAATTGAACATTCTTTTTAGTTCAGTGCTCAAGACAATCCTATTAGTTGCCCTACCTAAATTTACAAGCATTATTTTTGGTTATGGCGAAGAAGGAGTTGCATTTGTATGATCTGATTCGTGGCAAGGTTTAGTTTTTCAATGTTGGGTAGAATTTTCTTTCCAATGAGTAATCGTAAATGAAATATAACTGTCAGAATTTACATATTTAGTGACCTTTTTACCGACTTGAACTTCTGGCACGTTGGTTATATCAGTGATTTATCTACCTGTCACATCTGTTAGCTCAGCTGAGAACTAAGATGTGGAGATGATCCTCGAGTAGGAGTGAAATGAAAAGTATTTTAAACATTTCAGATCGTCATCTGCGCTCACTTACCAAGCCATGCGACATTCTGAGAATGGCCAGATTAACTTAACTTATCTGGTATTGTCCTCATTACCCTGTCATTAAGTTAGCAGATTAATGTGCTTGCGTCGGTGACATTTATCTAGAATGTAATCCTCTAGTGCACATTGCGCATACTCAATGCAGTTGAATCGTAAAGGTAATATTTTACCCTATTCTTCAATTTTAGATCCACTGATGCGTTTATAGGGATGCTAACTATGGGTCAAAATATGACTATTGATAATCTCCAAGCCTGCTTTTCCGTTATTGACCGTCCTGCAACTGTCGAGTTGATGACCCATCCTGGGTATCCCCTCTCGGGCTCGGATTGGGCGACTCAAGGCTGCAGTGCTCGCATTGGCCCAGATGAATTTTCGCGCTCAACTGACAGGAGTCACGAAATGACTTTGCTGCGGAGTCAGGAATTTAGGAATCTTTTGAAGCATAACAACATCAGATTGAACACATTTTCAACTTTTTAATTTGTATGCAGCTTTCTATTCTGCACGATTTGCCCGAACAGAATTCTTAAGCTCTGTGAAAATTTTTGCTTTTATCGAAAAGTGTATTTGAAGTTCTGGACTTGTAAAGAATTAGATGCTTGAGGTATATATAACGATATGGAACCCGCTTTTTATTGTGCTGTCTGGTTGGTTCTGCACCTGCTGTGATCGTAAGAGGCAAGAAGCAATCAGTTTTCAAAAGCTAACCATCTCGTCAATTATGCGGTTTTTTCTAATTTATGCATTTTTTATTTCCTACTGAAATGGTTCACGGGATTATGCTCACCTTTTTAAAGCTTTTATATCGTAAAATTTCCTTTCTTTGCACTTAAAAGTCCATGCAGAAGCCAATGTCCTCGACCAGTTGTAAGTTGAAGCAGCACAATCCATGAGGTAAAGCATCTTTACTCCAGATACGCTTAATACTCCTTCACATGGCACTCCGTTTGCAAAAATTAATGCAAACTTATTTAGGAGTCATAAGCGATTTGGTAGTTATAGTATTTACAGTACTTCGTCTTCAGCACAAGTATTTTGATACCTTTATCTTGCTTTGAAAAAAATTTATTAATGATTAGGTTGTCTTTTGAGGACTAGCCATGTAGATGTGGTTTGTATGCGTGCAGGATATCCGAAATACTTCCTTATTCCCATTGACAGGTCTCACTTTCATTCACTCATCCCATTTAGTTCATTCAGACCTTCTTTGAAGTGAATAAGAGACCAACGTTCTTTTGGAGAAAAGCTGACTGTTCATGATCTCCGCCCCTTCACCACCTTACCTGTATCGCTGTAGAGACGTTGTTTTTTTCCTCCGCTTTCCCGAAAAAGGAAGCTTGTAGTGAAGGCAAATTCTGACATTCTTTCATGGAAGTGAAGGACCTTTAGTGAAGATGGGTTGGGATCAAAAGGGGGAGGGACAGGTAAAAGCAGCGAGCAGTGGGGCTGTTGACGGTAGGCAAGCAGCGAGAGGGGGGAGGCAACGGAGGCGATCAAGCGGAGCTGCCCTCAGGGTTGGGCGGGGGAGCGGAAGGATGGAGTCCCACTGGAGGCTTATTGGCGTTGGCGCCCTGTTCCAGTTGGAATCGACGGTAGTAAAGCTGGATTTGCGTGAAGATACACTTCCAATCAGGTACCTTAGTTCTCAGCAAATCCTCCATTTCTAAAAGTGGCGCCACGTTGCCCAGCTCCCTGAATGGTCAACAAAGTAGCGTCACAATTAAGTTCATTTTAATTTACCGTGGCAGTTCAAGCCCCGATGTCCATATTCACAGTTTACCTATTAGTGGTCGTTATGGCTGGTTATCAACTCTTTAGTATCCATGCTTAAAGAAATACCTCGAATTCTCTAATGCAGCATATCTTCTACTGTGAATGCACAATAAAGCGGTTTTATCAACGCTTGCAGTTTTTTGCAATGAGGCATTTTATCTTCCGAAGTAACTCTAAATTCCCCGTAATTGGTAGAGGAGGGTGAATGAACTTGGTGAAATCCTTCGTTGAAAAACCGCAAAAAACAACATATTTCAAAGTGCACATCTGGTGTAAATTTCGACCTGTGTATTCTGTTAAATGCTTAAAAAAATTCATGAGAAATGGATCCCTCTTTTTACTCTTTGTATTTGCCCCTTTTAATAATAAAGCAGTCACTGGTAAAGTAGGTGGGTCGTCACATTTGCCTTTGTAAATGCTTTGCAATTCCTGTTTCCAAGCTCAATGATGAAAGTGTCATTCATCTGATTTTTCGTATGTTAATAGGATTATTTTCTATCTTCAGAATAAACCATGATTACTGATAAGCGAAATGTTGCACTTTGTACCGCAATTAGAGAAACCGACTTGTATCCACCTTACGTCAGCACATCCACACCATGTACTAGAAATTCGTTAGAGTACCTACGAATGGTTGTAGTATTTACCTTGTTGAGGAGGCACGGACAATCTTTCTGTAGCAAACTATTTCAAGCAAAACTATCCTAAACTGCTTATTGAAAGAATATTTTCCTCAAAATCTTCAAAAAACAAAGCATCTTTTCTTCCCTAAGCGCTTTACAACAGTTAAAGGTAGTATTCTACGATGGATGTTAGTTTTGGAGCAGGTTGTGGAACAGTTTAGTGCCAACTCCATCGTTGGCATAAGCTTTTCGTCAACGCTAAACGACTTTTACAATAAGCTAGACAAATTCTGCCCATGGAAAGATGTTCTACGAGAATGATGAGGGCTAAAAAGCCCTTGATGAATGATAAGTAAACAATTCAGCTCTATCTCATAAATATCCGGTTGTTTCAGTAGTGATAGCATCATAAATATTTCAATAAATATAAATTTAAATGAAAAATTCATTTGTCTGAGTTTTAAAAACTGTAATATTTATCTATATTTTCCGCATTTAACAATTAATTTTAAGTGTCATCAACTTCAGTTATGGAGTTATGGGTGGGGTCTTTTGCAAACGCAAAGGTCAAGTTTGAAGCACTGACTCATCATCCATCCATAAAATTGAGGTCAAGTTCTTTCACAACGCTGATCTTCCATATCTACGCAAGTTTTTAACTAGGCTTTTTAGTGTACAAACCATAGCATTTTGTCAAAATAAATGAAAATTCTGTAAATCAAGGTAATGAAATCGAAATCTTAAGTGGCATTTTTCCAATGAATTTCGACCACCTTACCTCATCGACGCTCATTGTGGTGCTTTTTGGTGGTATGGATCTTCACTGTGTTATTATTTCAAGGAATTATTACATTTGACTCAAGTTTTAGGAATTCGCGTAAAATTGATCCCCAAAGATCATGTTTTGACGCTCGATTCTAAGAAGATAAGCAGGTGTGCATTTTGGTAACAATGATGAGTTAAATGCAAGAGATGTAGACCTACTCGGCAGTTTTAAATGCAAGTTCAAAGTTGGCCCTCCGGTTCTCCGGTTTCAGAGTGGAGAAGTCAAAAGCGTCAGGGTAGAAGTGATGAATGAGTGCGCAGAAAGCCATTCCGTCTGCCCAGCTACTGCCAAAGTTTTTCACCTCCACGTGCTGCATCAGAAAGTCAAATAAAACATGCCTTGTCACTTTGCCATTCAACAACAAGCAGTCTCAAAGATAGCTTACTTAAAAATACCGAATTTGAACAAAGCAACTTATTTAAATGTTTTTGATTTTATAATTAAGTATAGCTGAATATGCTAAAATTTCTACTAATATCTGTCCTAATTCTGATCCCATAAGGGACGAGTGAACCACCCTAATGTCCAATTTTAACCTAGCCTTATCGCAAATATAAACAAAATCGTATGCACTCAAATAAAGTACACTTCAGCGCGTTAAAACTTATTCTATTATGCATCCAGACCTGCGAACATGCCTGCAATATACGGGCGAGGTTTTCTGTACGACGCAAAATGTCGTGGCCTTAAGGAAGGCGTAATTAAAAAACCAGCAATGCGGAAAATTTTCTCTTCAAGGCCTCCCTTATTTCTATCACATTTCAGTCACCACTTTTGTATCATATAAAGTTCATCCAACATACTGCTCGTGTAACATAGATGTTTTTGGGTAGGAAAAATATTATTTTTGTAATTTAGGGCTTTGGAAAGAAGCACCATGTTCACAATCTGCAGCTGCCTTTTTGAGTGACGTAAATTTGAAAATACGCACTTAAACAGAAGGACGGTGGAGGAACGCCTCTACTTGACTTGTATTAGAAATCGTGCTTGATTGCGTGTTTACTAGTTAAGAAATTTTCACTCTCACGGCAGTGCATCCACTTGTATTCACATCGTTCATAAAAACTCGATCAAAGTGTCAGTAAATAAAATGTCAAATTCATGCCACATTTTCCTTCTTAATTTATGTCTAAAACTACCTTGGTTCCACATTCCTAAATTAAGTGAATGTAGTACAAAATAAAAACTTGGCCATAAGTCGTGGTGGCAGGTCCATTCAACTTCTGAAAATGTTCCGAGGATTTGAAATTTTGTGCATAGAAGTACAGAGGGGAGTAGTTTGGACTTCTGGTTTCGTTGAATTATCTAATCATATTAGCTTAAGTTCTACGGCCTGAGATCGTAATTAGCACACAAAGAAGTTGAAGGGGAGGATGTAGGGATGGGTTGTAGGACACTCACCGGGTATCCCTTGGTCATGACCTGGCACCAGTGCAGCATAATCTCCTTGGCCGAGGCCGCACCCGACCGTTTGGACGCCAAAAAGCTACAGCAAAAAAGAACCGTGTCAGAGTTCATTATCCTACTTTAATTTCAAACCATCTTCTAACTCATTTGCCCTCAATCCTCTGTGAGGTTCCTTCGAGGAGATTGCGTATTCAGATATCCTTTTCATTGAGCCCACCTCCCTTTTAAACAGATGAATACAGAAGTATCACTCTTCTACTGTCGTATAAGCATGTACCTCGGACTCCGGCATTTGAAGTATTTATCCGTTACTAAGACATTTTTAAAGTGTTTCCGAGCCCCATGCCTATGTGTAGAAGGTTTAGGTCTACTTTGATGAGAAGTCGCTTTTCTTAGAAAAGGATGGAGTTTTTTGATATCAACTTGTTTCACAGAGGCAGGTGGGATTATAGTCAAATTGATTAACAAAGTATTTTTTTAAACTGCTAGGATTTGGGAGATTTCCTCACATCCAGGCAGCCATAGAGCCTGTAAATTTAAGACTGTACTGCTTCAAATTAGTTTGGATTTGCAGAGATTATAATCTTGGTAGGGGATCATGATGCCACGATATTGTTGTGAATTTCATGCTCATCCATTTCTCTACTTAATGGAATGGATGTATACTTAGCAGTATACATTTAAACAAATATTCTTCGTTTAAGTCATTCTCCTCACTTTCAAGTTTTTACACTTCATCGTTGGCATCACAAATGCGTTTTAGCTATCACTTGTCGACTGTGGATGGCTAAAGCGAAGGATGAAACTCCGTATGACAGATCAGTCAGAACTGAATGCGTAGTAAATCTGGTCACGCCACATGTACATAAAACCTACCGAATGCGTTAGACAATGCTTCTTGAGCTACTCTAAGTTTGTCATTTTATTATGCTTGAAAGTGGTTTTAGGAAAATAAATAATCATATAATAGTGGCCACTACACCTACAATTCATAAATAAATAGGCCTTACTTCTGCAATAAAAATAAGAAGGCTACCCATCCAAGCAACAGGCATGGTCGCCATCAGTACTTCTTATACAAAACACCTTTTAAGTAATTTATTGCTAATGGTTCATTGGAATGGATGCTCCGCTTCACTTACGTATGACTCCTTGCTGCCGGTCGATAGGAAGGTGTGTACGAATTTGCCGAAGACGAAACACTGCGACGAAGCATTTTCCTCTTTTGGCCTATTCACACGTATCAACAAGACCTCTGCCTCCAAATTCACCTCATGACTTGTACTTCCACGACTAGACCAATCAAACTGTGTGTGTTACGCCATTCACCAAGCCGACTTCTCACTGGTCACTCATGTGAGCGATCAGGCATTCTCCATTTCTACTGGAATATCCTGGTTGGTTAGCAGCATTGCGCAGATCGGATGTATCCATTTTGGAATTTGTAGCGTGACATAGACTCATATGTTTAGCGTAATTGCTTCCTGTCATCTTCCAATCACTGGATCTCATTAATAAAGTTTTAAAGCATGATCGAGAGAAGGAACGAATCTAATCAAACCCTTGGCATGCAAGGCTCTAATTCAAGTGTAACTTGGCCCACAGCTGTCCCTCCTACATTGTACACTTGTGACATCGTTTGGCATTTTCCTCCTTCACGCCAGTAAATCACTGAGCGCTGCATTTAGCAGCTTAGTTCAATTGTCTGACTTTGTCTAGCCTTGCATCACAGAACATAACTGGCAATATGAAGGCTCAATAATCATTTTACTGCAGTGAAATCAGATTTTCTTGGAGTAAGACTTTGTACTCCATAATTGAACCAACTTCAGGAACTACAACCAAGGAGCTGGGAGTGGAACCTTGAGGTATGTATGCACAAAGGAACACCAGCTGCAATAACCCATTCAGCGGCAAAGACTTTCTCACGGCAAGAACGAATTAATGGTGATGTCAGAAAGGAAGAAAGGTGCGGATTGTTTCCATAACATTCCTCTTTGGAAACATAAGTCCATGGGTATGTATTGGAGGGAATGTAATATGTGAAGTGTTGTGGTTCGCCTACGTCCCCAACCAGATTCAATTCATGTGCTAGTAGAATGCTCTGTTAATGCATGAAGCTGGCGTCAATCTCATGTAAATAATTCCCCAGTCAATTAGTAAGTAAATTGTGCTTCACGGTAATCATTCGAGTGCCATGGTGATATGGGTGATAAAGTGAGCTCGGTGGCCATTTCAGTTTAAGCCTCGGAGACCACCGGCACTGGTCACCGAAACTTAAAAATTTGCAACTTCTAGCTTAAAGCTAAAGTGATCTGTCACTTTTCAGAAGAAACACAATGATATATCAACGACTCCTACCAATGCCATAAAAGGCTAATTCTCCTTCATTTTAACTCTTGCTCTCATTACATTTATATCTCTAAGATACGCTTGTAAATGGTAGATAACTTATAGGAGAAATTATTCTGATAGTGACTCCCTTAGAGACGCCAAGGGATAGCGTCTTGGTGATAGTATTACGATTTCTTTGGGTTTTCCTAATTGAACACGCTTGCCTAGAAAAGTGTAACAATTGCATGCTTCTCACATTCCGCAAATTTTTTTTTTATATTCATCGGCGGGAATAATTACCGGCTGGTTAGTTTGGATTTTAGGAATTTGTACTCTGTGTTACTTTCTTGATTGTTCATTCGTATTTTCGAGTCCACAGCTTCTAATGCAATGTGGGACATCATCGTAAAAACCGAGCGACTGAAATTCACTCACTTCGGTTTAGCGCCCGCAGGATTAGCGGCTTTGTCGGCCTGCTTGAAAGGGTTATTCGCCGTGCTTGGGAGGGCTAAAACAGACGTTTGGGAAGGGGTAGTTTAAAATTACATCTTTCCATTCCATGTTGCCTTATGACCCATTTTTACAAGAGCCTAGTTAATAAAATTCAACTAATTGCCTTGTGTGTACGTGGCAGGCGTTAATGAACACGAATTGCTTCTGCAAATGCAGATTTTTAGTAATAGGGTCTGCGCTCGCGCAAAAAAATAACAACTGTTCCTACTTTCATTTATTACAAATGGAGGATGGTCTACATTCCGCAGAGAACTTCGTTTTCATGAACCAATCCAACAGCTTGTTAATTTGCAATGCCTCGAAAACCTTCGCCTTTGCTACAGGTAACTAACATGTTAGTTAAGCCAGGGCTTGCAGTTTTTTATTATAAAATACTTACTTTTCTTCGACATCGTTCTCGGTGGTCTGAAGAAAAAAATGATAGAAGACAATGTAAAATCTTCAGTGTGCACGAGTGACAATTCATATTTGAACTTTACATGCCATGTTGAATCGATATTTTCAAAAACTCGAAAGGCAATAAATTAAAACAAATCGAGACTCGTCAGCAGCCATTAAGTGCTTATCTGATAGACTGACGTAAATTTTGGCTCTGTGGTTAGTTAATGCTGCTACTTAAGGGCTGCTATCCGCATACCTTCGGGCTTTCAATAGCCATGCAGTTAGGACGGTGCCATGTAGGCGTGTAGTGAGAACGGCAAATGCATCACATCTCCTAAGCTAGTTAGTCCAAAATTCAGCCTTTAAATAATTGCGATGGCCACTTAGCATGCTTACTGCACGTATGTGATAGCACAGCTACCTCACCCAAGCCCTTAAGTCGCACATACGTGACACACACACATAGGTAAAGTGAAATGTATTAGTATGGCGGTTAAAATAACGTGTCACATGAAGACAACATCAGTTAATGTGTTTTTTTCAATTTGCTCTCCGTATTGATCCTTTGAGATCGTCGATAGTGCCTTACATCGGAGAGAAAGTACGCCACAAAAGTAATCATAATCTGCTTTTAATAATTAAAAGTTTTTAGTGACGTGGCTCTGTTGTTGGAAGACTAAAGAAAAAGGCTTTCTTAAATAGAGATCCGTTAGGTTGTGCGTTTCCTTTTTTTAATGACTGAAACCACTGGCAGACTAGTTTATTAAAAGTTTGCTCGAAACTTTGAAGAAGCCCGCCTCTATTTATGAAATGCAGTTAGGGTACTTTAATAGGACCTTAATTAAAACCAAATTAGTTCGATCCTTTCCACTAAGTCTAGTTTATATTATGTAGAGTAAACTATGTTTATTTCTGGTTTTCACTTGTTATTCTATGCAATAGCCTTTTGCTCTACTTTTTGTTAATTTTTTTTACCGGTTGACAAGTGAGTGTTCTGAGGAAAGGCGTAAGCTTCCGCATCACATATGCCACCATATTGTGTGACCATTATCTAAACAGAAGCAACCAAGTTAAGGCCTCATATTTCCCTACATTTCAGAAATATCGGCTCATTTTGGTGAGGTAAAGTTCGCTCTATCCGGTATTAGGAAAAAGTCTTTTCTAGCAAAGCATGATAAAGGAATTCCTAATGCTCCACTGGGGCTCTCCACGAGTTCTTAAAATCATCGTGATGCAGGCATGCGCCGGAGTAGTGTAAGCAAGGCACTGTTTACCGGCATGCAAATGGAATGCTTGAGAAAAGTGGGGAAATATGGAACATTACCAGAGGGCTAGTCAACAGCAGCCTGATAGGGCGATGTCCGTGTTTATCGCGAACGAAGTTGCCTACGTAGGCACACTTGCTTGGGCTCTACAGTAACCAATTGGTGGGCCAGAGGCCCATCACCCACGAATCCCCAGCATCTGTGCTGCCAGCTTTGGTAGGTCAGACACCGGGTGAAAGGCGCAATGGTGGGAGAGGAGGGGAGTGGGGTGCGCTGGGTGCCGTACGTGTGCTACTATGTGGACGCGAAAATATTTGTGCTGACGTTCACCCACCGACATGCACGCACCTCGCGTGTGCGCTCGAAGTGTCGCGCAGAAACAGCTGATCATGTCACCTCCCCAACCAATCACGCACCGGAGGCCTTGACTGCGCTCGCGTGACTGAAAATCGATTGACCACTTGTGTGGTTCCACTCCTTTGGGATCATCATCGCATAAGATCTTGGCAAGATCTGATTCACAATGATACACCTTCCACGATATTGTCTCGACTCTACAAAGCACGCACAATGTGCGACTTGCAACATTCGTTTCTAGCTTTAACCCGAATCTTGCCG